TCGTCAATACATTCATGATAGAAAGAAAGAAAAAGTTTTCAGTTTTACGCTTGAATATGAAAAAGAGAAAAGAACCTTCTTGTCATATGTAATTTGCATAAAAGATTAAACTATAAGTGTTTCATATTACAAGATATTTTATTTTGTTATTGTTTTCAGTAAACATGAAAATGACAATACAAGTAACATCAATTTAATTAAAATAGTTAAGATTATCAATGTTTACAATATGTTTAACATGAATTATCCACCTACATACAGTGTATTAGATGAATTTCACTTGAATAGAATAAAATAATTCGATTTTTATGCTTGGAAGAATAAATTCATTGTAACTAATAGCAAGGTGAAGTAGTTGTGTTTTATTCTATTAAGGAGTCTTCAATTTGGATCTAATGCATTCCAGTGTTGTTATTCATATTGGGTATTGAAACTAATACCTTTTACTTCAAATGATTAATGCGTTATTTCTTGAGCTATTGAGTGAAGATATCTACTCACTTGTTCAATATGGTTTGATATTTAAGTCATTATGGGAAAGGATTGGAATAAAGCTGTGCATCCAGTTGACAAATCCCAAATAAAACGAAATGTCAGTCTTAGATTCCTCTACTAACCAGAATGTATCTATTATGTAAACATTTGCGGTAAAATGATTATATTGGTGAAATTTACAGAGAATGTACGAATGCAATTGTAGAATGATTACCAATAATGAAAATATTCAAATGTTTTCTATTAATGATTTGAAAGAAACATATAAAAGAAACAATACTGATTCTACGTACAGTTATATATATAATCAGAAATTCTATTTGGTGAATATTTTTAAAGTTTGGGAATTTTCGAGTGGTAAAGGTTCTTTTTCTTGCGCATGATACTAATTTACTCAAAAAACTAGAAATGATTATACCTGGAGAAATATTTTGATTTGACGAATTACTATTCATGAATATTAAGTTTTCTGAATATGGTTTACTAAACCATCATTGCATCTTATGGACAATTATACGTTCAGTGATGAGAAAAAATTATATAATACAAATAAAGAATAATTTAGCTATTAGAGGGAAAAGGTTCTATAATGAATGAGCTTTTTAACGCATGCCAGAAATGATTATTTCTCATTTTATTTGTCATCATAGCAGCAGTTGAAGATCAGCTGATAGTTTTGAGTTTGCATTTAGTTGAAGTTATTGATTGTTTATGGGTGTTATTTGACTGATTACAGGATAAGGTGAGAGAACCCAAACACAATATGGCATCTATATCACATATGAATTCATTCATGTTAACAAAATAATTATTATCTTAAGAAAAAATGTCTACATGCACTGGAAGTCTTTATATTCTGCATTATTCCCGTATATAGTTGGGTGGAACTTCTCAGTAATTAATTCTAAAAAATAATTACATCATTTTATCGTTCCTTATTACATATTGTTTAATCAACTATGGATTTTATTTACGATTGCACAGATTCCAACCAATAACAATTACACTGAAACATTTAAAATAATTTACTAACAAATTATTCACAGTTTTACTGACAAGATTTTTATAAATTTAAACAATAAGTAATAATTCGCACTAATGATTGATTATACACAACTATTTAGAAACAAGAGGTATTGACAAATATTTTGTCCCAGTATGGCAATCTTCATCAGTGTACAGTCAATGGGTGACAGTTCAACAATCCCTACATACCACATATGCAAACCATATTCATATGTTCACTAGTAAAATTCTGGAAGTTTTAGTAAGAAGCCTTGACTAATCGAGCCCAATCATTTCAGGTGTCAGACAGTTATCTCTCACAAGCCATAAGAACTAGTGACTCAATACCGTTGATCAATTGAATTTATACATGTAAATCACTGGTTTATGGGTTAGGCATTCGAATGTGAGATATAATGTCCTTAATTCAATCTTTGACGGTACCGATGATTACTGTGAAATTGATAGACTGTGATGACGAAAAAACTTGATAGTTCAAACAGCAAATAATAGACGAAATACTTATTCTCCGAATTTATTTTCAATAAATGTTTTTGTTTACCTCTATGGATGACTATTGGTGTCAAGTGGTATTGTATGAGTAATATAGGTGTAAATCATATAATTTATGAGTAGGAAATATATTTCACAATTAATAAATACGTATAATTGTTGTCTTAGTCAAGTTAAATTCATTGGTTTGTAGCAGAAATGCACATGAACCAGTTCTCATTATTCGATTAGTCGGCATATCACTCCATTAAGGAAATTAGGACCAAGAAAGGATGAGAGGTTGGACGTATCGTTTCTGTATGCAAAGTTCAGACTTAAGTTCGATACAGAAGCATTTAACTAATTGTGGACACAGCGCCCCAAAAGATCCTTCTTTTTAAGTAATCTACAGAGTTAAAGGAACTGGATCGAAGGTGTGTCAAATCAATATTTTATGCACTGCTGAGGCATTGGCAATCCACGAACTCAAACCTGAACTTTGCGTTCAGAAGCGATTCATCCAACGTCTTATCCTTCTTTGTTGTCTTAGTCTTTGATAATGACGGGATAAAAATTTAAAATTACATTTATTTTACTCGTGATTTTTTGTTCAACATTACTTTCGTTTTTTTAAAAATTCGATTTGATAATTACTTCTTAGTGTAGCATTCAGTTTTGATTTCCCATATGACATTTTATTCTTTATTACATACAATATTCTTGTATTCGATTGACATGAACTATGCTCAGTATGATATGCAGTATATGATTTGTTTTAACTATGGGCAGTTTCCATATATGCGATTTCATCCTGATTAGTAATCAAAATAGGTTTACAATCATTATATATATATTGAGTTTATTTTGGACTAAGGTTGTCGTTGTGTTTTAGGATTAATAAATCTTTACTTGTATCAGTTTTGATGTTCTTACTTCTCATCGTGGGAATCGCATTTGTTTCTCGTTTTACAAGTATAAGTAATAAATGATTCTAACATGACAATTAACAACGACCAGATAGAACAATTGGCAACGGAGTCATAAAAGTCTTTTACTCATATTACCAGATCATTTTAAAAAAAAGAAAACGAACATTAACAATCAGTAACTTGACTCAATTAGTCATATCATGTTCAAAACTCATTAATCTCAATTATAAAACAAATCTCTTTTAAAAATAATTTATTATTGTCATAATATACGTGTATATGTATAGATGCATAAAACAGTAATAGTGTATTATGTAAAATGTTAACTTGTCAATATTGAATAAACAACTGTATGTCACAAATATTATTATTATTATTTAATGTTTCAGCTTAAATTACTGGAACAAAATTAAAAACAAACCTGACTGCAATTGAAATTAAAAGAATAAGGAGGTGGAAATTGTAAAACTCAAAAACAAAACAAACAAACAAACAAAAAAGAGAAATGAAAATATCCGTGATAAAAAGGAGAAAAACAAAACAAAAATTTTATGTAAAACCTAAATGATAATAATTGAATAAGAAAAAGCCAATTTGTGTACTCAACAGAGTAAAATGATACAAGTTTCATTACACTACATTAATTGGTTTTACCGAAATTACAATAATATCATGTCTTGTTTTTCCAATTTCACACTGTTCGTTTTTATTGTGATCATCATTTAAAATAGGGAAGATTATGTAATAAAGTGTTATTTTGATCATAAGCTTGGGGATAAATAAGACTTTTTAGCCTAATGTCAAGATACATTAGTGTGGTTACATTTTTAACAGTTAGGCATATGTTTGTAACTATATGTGTGTGCGACCGTTCATCCGTGTATATATGTATGTCTTTCAACGAACGCACATATATTACATCATGTAAACATATGTATATAAATAAATATATATATATATATCTCCTAATCACTTAAAAAGGAAACATTATGTTTACCTGAATAGAAATGTACTTTATGTATGTTACTAAGGCTTGTATGCAAAAACAAGTTAGTTTGTCTCCTTGTTATCATATATATATATATATATATATATATATATATATATATATATATATATATATATATATATGACATTATGTTGTCCAGATGAATTGAAGAGTACTTATGAAATGCTTGTAAAGAATAACACTTTGAAATATAGATGATTTTCAAAACAAAAAAAAAGAAGAAAAAGAAATGAGTTAAAATTGAGCAAAATTCTTTTGTTTTTTTAAGATGTTACTCTATTTTTCTTTTTATTTTGTTATAAACAATCAACATTAACAGATGTATACAAGCACAGATACGTACAATTTCAAAAAAAAATGTTTAAATAATTATAACTCAAAAAAATGAATGAATCGAATGAAATCTTACGGAAAATTTAATGTTTATTTATTTTTTATTTATTTAAGAAAACAAACTATTTATTCAGTCAACATGTACACTCATATAAACTGGTATGAAGATGAATACATTTATGTGTTTTATTCTCTTAATTTCCTACATAAGCTATCGACTATGATGGATGTAAGACTTTATCTCAACCCGTACAAAAGATCTATAGAATTCATATATGATCCAAATTTAGTTTGTTTAAGTATTTGTAGACCATTAATTGTACCATCCTGACTTACTGAATTGTAATAGACAAATTGCAATTGAAATCGACAATTCATTTAGTTATTAAAATAAATGCTATAACTATGAAGTCCTAGATTTGCCTTCACTTTGACAATGCTTTTTTTTAAAAAAGAATTACATAAATATTTATTATTAGTTTCTGTACAGATAAAGTACGTGACTGACTGAATACTAATAGCGCTAATAGTATCAGTACTAGTACTAGTAGTAGTAGTGGTGGTAGTAGTAGTAGTATCATTAATATTACTGAGTGAAGATTGAATCATTCAATCTAAATCCAGTGTGAATATATAGTAAATAATAATAAAAAGAGTATTACTGATCACACAAACAATATGCATATAAGTATATATATATATATATATATATATATATATATATATATATATATATATTAATGTTCTGTAATTGGTGCACTACTACGACGATGAGCAAGTGCAGAAAATCGTAAAACTGTACGATCATGATTTAAATCTAACACTTTTTGTTCTAATAATTTATTATCTTTACAACGTATTGTATTTGGAATTGATTTTAAATCAATTTTCGATGATAAATAATTTGGTTTATTATTTTTTAATTCTTCATATAACATGTGTAATATATTTGCAGATACTGTACATGTAGATGATAATGATGATTTAATGGTAGAGGATTGAGATTTAATCTTACTAATTGGTATATTAATATGATTATTTCTTGAATGAAATGATAACATATTCTGTGTATCATTTTTTAATAGAACAACAGTACTTGATTTATTTGATAATGAAAAATTGAATGTTTTTCTAATAGCTAATTGAGTTTCCGGTAATGAATGTCGACGAATAACACGTGTTGTAATAAATATTGTTTGATGTGATTTTCCTGAATGTAAATTATTATTATTATTACTATTAGAATCAAATGATTCACATGTATTCACTGTATCAATTTCTTGAATTGGTGAATTAGTTAAATGAATTGATCCTATAAAAGGTTTTGTAAATCAATTATATTTTTTTGATCCAATTTCTAAAGAAAAAAAAATTTAAAAAAATAAAATTTACTTAATTACGATATATTTTTGTAATAGTTACATTCATGAGTCGATATAAACTGGATCACCATAAAAAACCTGGAAGCACTGAACAACCTTTTCGTCTTAGTATGGGATTCCTTTAGCAATGAGCGTTCACGATCCCAGGATCTTGACCTCTAGACCATTGAGTTGGAATCCAACGATGTTGATATAATGTCTTATTCGAAATTTCTCTTTTGTTTAAATAAATTACACAAATTATAATTTCAATGTTCAATTATGATTTTCATTAAATTTATCACTATTTAAAAATAATTTTGAAAGAAACAATCTAAGATTGGTAAACATGTAGTTTTAGTTAAACTTTACAGTTCAAGTACTTTTTTGACATTCAAACTATCAAAACTCATAAGATGATTAAAATTTTCATTGGAGAAAACAAAAGTAATTTATTTTTATAACAGATCTTTCAACGTTCATCTATGTAATAGACATCTATTAGCATCGTTATTAATTTTAAAAAAATTAATATAATCTTAAATAATAACTGATATTATAATATAGAATTGTACAGATTGTTGAATTTTGAAACAGCTATCCAGTGTTTCTAGGTTTTTAATATCAGTCTAACATTGATTTATTCATTATTTTAATCAATAACTGAACTGTTACAATGTCTACTAACTACTAGTTTTGGTAAAATCAATTATTACATTGATTAAATCTTATTGAAATCATTGTTGATATTCAATAATTTTGATTATCAAATATTTTTAATCATTTAATTTAAATACCATTAACAGTTTAGTTGTTATAGTCAATATTTGGCATAGTTACTATTACATATTTATCAAGTATAAATGATCAACTAGATATCCAGTTAATTTTTGCACTAAACTGAAACCAGTCAGACAATTACTAAAAACCAAATACCACTTTGAAAATTCTTATCAGAACGCATTAATGACATCACAAGGAAATCTATCTATAATCTGAAGAAAATGTAATACACATACAACATGATATTGATATCCACTGTTTCATAATTTAACTTCAACCAGTTTATTGTATGATAGAATCACCAATCAATTTCATTATTAATGCTTAATATTGACAATTCCATTGTCTTTATAGGTCACAGTCGAATGTTTTACATAGTTTATGGTAATTCTCTAGTTTTTTTATGAAAGTTATTTTCAAATTGGACAAATTTATAAAAGGATCCATCTAAAGTTCGTCGAACAGATATTTGAATTATGCTAATTTTATGAAACTGTATATAACAAGCAGTTAGATCATCGTTTTAAGTTTAAAATGTTTTATTTTTAATAACTGTATAACTTGATAACTACAAACAAGTACATGCAATAGAGGTTGTCAGTCAATCTAATTAAATACAAACAAAACAGATCAGATGCTAAAATCAATGTACATAAATTGGAATACTAATATCTAATTCAACAGTAGTAATTCCAAAGCTTCAAGTAACAAACATGAGCTACGTGGAACATTCAATTTAATGATTAAATTACTCGACTTTCAAAACACCCCTTTTCAACTAATTCTATGTTTCAGTAGATAAATTATATTTCTAGCTCACAAATACACAAAACTTATGACTAGAAGCCGAGTAACCAAAACTTTTCCTGTTACATCAACTACATTAAATTATTACTTTAAACTATTCATTTCACTTAATGTTTCATGATAATATTTTATCGTCTTTTATTTTACCTGATTAGTGAACATACATACAGAGGGTGGAGTAATCGAACAATGCAATCAAAGGTGATTGAATATGTGCCTATATGGCTTCAAAATCAATTAGTGTCAAATGGTCCGATCAACGTGAAAGGTAGAAAACCATGTTCATCGATAGCAAAACATATAATTGAAACGGGGCACAAAATTGACATTAATACAGCTTTTAAAACGTTGTATAGAAATTGTCAAGGACGAATTCTCAGGTTTATTGAAGCCTTGACTGTTCGTAAATTTACCCCCCTTGCTTATGTGTACAAAAACAATTTGTCGTAACTTTGAATTTACCCAGGTAATCCTTAAGTCATTTTGTGGCCTACGACAACACAACAATTTCTCATTCTCTCTTTATGATGTAAGAAATGTTTCTCTCCTTCTTTTATTACCTTTTCTTACTTGAACTTTAATTTAATTGACCTTTACTAATTTTCATAAAAAAATGCCCTGACAAGTATATATGTGACCAGATTATTTGAAATGTATAGCGAGAATACATAACAGTTTTCAGATCAACTACGTCTTCTAATTGCTTGAATAAAATTTATAAAAGGAACTAATTGCTTTAAAAGATATGACTAATGCTAAAATGTGCTAAAAAATAAAGGAAATAATTCAAAACAAGAATTCCGTAGAAATATTCAAAAGGAAAATAATCATCAATGTATATATATATATATATATATATATATATATATATATATATATTCTTGATATTTAAATCATAAAGGATACTGACTCACTTGAGTGTGTTCAGGGTCTGGGAACGAAATTAGCGAAAGGTCTTTCTAGACTCTTTTACTATGAGAGTTTAAAACGTCTAAACCGTTGCCTCCTGTATCGTAGGACGCGAGGTGACCTTCAATTACAATTTGATTGTTATTATGTCTTATCTTTTTGTTCCCTCCAGCACTAATAATCTCCGAGGTTATAGCAAGAAGGTTCACAAACCGCGATCTATAAACTTAAAGTGGGGTCCCGTTTTTTTCATCGAGTAGTCAATGACTGGAACGCCTTACCCGAACTAGTGGTATCAACCCCATCAGTGAATATTTTCAAGGAGAAGCTGGACCTTCACTGGAGGGTAGACTGTTAGGATTAACAAGTGTTCACCAATCTACTATCCTTATTACTGAAGACTGAAAAAGAAACAGTCCCTCTTACGTAATAACAAGTTGAATATAATATAAATATGAATTCATTGTAACCATTCATCATAAAAGTTTCTTCAACTAACCTCTGATTTGATAGTTTTTTGTTTAATTTGATCTAAATAATGAATTGTTGAAATAGATTGATTATTATTGTAACTAAGTGGTAATGTTGATGTCAGTTGACTGTCTAATGAATTATGACGATTAACATAAGTTGTTATTCCTGACGATGATGATGAAGAAGAAGATAAATCAGTTAGCCAATTTTTTAAATTTTCATCTAAATTTTGTAAAATTTTCAGTGTAAGATTATTCTGAAAAAATTCATGCCATCCAGTTAATAATGGTTTCACCATATCTCTAATAAATCCTGTGGATTTGGTTAGAATAATTAAGAGAGAAAAAGAGACAGTTGAAGAGGATGGTAAAAAAAATAAATCAACAACATTATTAGAAACATATTTTTGCTATGAATGTAATATTATTACAAATTCGACTGAGTAGTAATTCGTAGATATAAAGTTTAAAACTGCATAAAATTATTGTATTGTTTCAAGTTGACACAAGTGCTACACATAACTACAAGGAAAAAAGGAAATAACTAAGAAGTAAAAAGCTAAATAAGTAGAAAAACTTCATTGGAACTATTTCAAAAGGGGGAAAAATGAGGACAATGTTTGACAGGTGTGGAATGACTTTGACATCGTTATTCAAATAATAATGAACAATAAATGTAACTAAGATGGATGGTGGATAGAAATAGAACTCAGGACACCTGTTTCGTCCCGTCTGGGACTCGTTAGCAGGATGTATCTGCATCCGAGTTAATATTCACTCTGGGACTCGAACCCAGTACCATTCGTTATCCACTTAGCTGCTGAGTCTTGATAACCACTTGCTTGTGCAATGGAGTGAAGCGTAAATTTATTTTGCGTTCTTTGTCCGAATCTTAAGGCAATATCGAAGCAATCCTCATAGAATGCACATATACCAGTAAGAGACTGATCAATTTCAGTCTTAAACATAATTGGGAAGATTCAAACAAATAATACAAATGAATAAATGTCATTGTATATTACAGCAGGCTATTTCGAAACATATTATGTCAAATCCTTGACTCTCTGGCATAGTTATCTCATATACCATATATAGGATATTTTTTCCAAATAACCAATTACTAAGTTCACGAATTGGTACTGTATCTCAATTCAATCTTAATCCAATCAATTCGTATTTTTTTAAGTCATCCAATTAACTGGTGACTATCCAAAACAAACTGGATCAATTTATGGTGAATACAAGTACATGTAGCCATTCATATAAATACTAGTGAAAGCTTATTAATAACGCCAAAAAAAGAAAATAAACTCACTAGCTGAATTTAACAAAAAAGATTATTGTGTATATATTTCACTACATGACAAATGTAAATCACTCAATGCTAACAAAATCTATAATGAGATATATAAAGCTCAACTGATTTCTGGATAATTGCTTATTATAAAGTTTCAATTATTCTGTCATTTTTTTCACAATCCTCAACAAGACATATCTATTCTGATCAATAATCAAACGGAATATTACTAGGATGTATGATTACAGACGCTTGAGAATGATCATGTCTATATCGTATGTGTTAAATAAGTTTGAATTGAAAGACTATTTGTTCGAGGACTAATGTGAACATTAACACAGATATACCCTACCAGCAAGTTTCAAATAGGACGAAATAAGTCTCATGGATTCCATTGTTAGTGACAATCTATCTATTAGAAATAATGTGTCTGTACTATAATGGAATACCTTAGGGATAATTCCTAATGATTCATGTATTACTCAAACTGATAATCGTTATTAGATAACTTCCAACAGTGTATATATTTGGAAATACAGTAAAAATCGTTGACTACTGTTTATTATTCTACAGTGCAGATCGTGAAGCTACAAGGATACAAAGAGAATATGAAAAGAAATGCAAATAATAATGAATGCCAGTGAACATTCGCGAGTGAATGAATAAACGGAATTTGAGAGACAAACATATATAGGAAATCAAATGAGTCATCGTACGGTTTAAGCAACTAAGTTAATTGAAGTGCTTAATAAAACTGAATGTATGCAGACTCAAGTGTAGGTGAGGTACTATAGTACCAACAACTTATAAGACTTTTGAATATTAAATTAGTCGACAAAATTGTCTCTATATCTTTTTTTCTTCAAAATCTAATCATAGTTGCATATTGAAAACTGGTTTGATCACTTCACTTATTGGTTTATTCATTCAGTCAACATTGTATTGTTATTTGTCATGGCAACTTCTACTGTTTATTTCCATTTAAAAAATGACACATTAATCTATGTTATTCTCGTATGTCACCTTATAAAATTTAATTGAACGTATTTAATGGATTGTAAAACCATAAGTACAAATGCTTTCGTTAAAGTGATTTAAAACAATTGTTAATATGATCTTATTCTAAAAACTAATGAATGCTTACTTAAATTAGCAATGCATTACATTTAAGCTTTACATAAATACTCACTGTCTTATCGTGTGAATGACTATATGGGTGTAAATGAAATAGGACATAATGCATGAATTTGTCATATAGGCGTTTCCCACACTAAAATTGTTTGAGTCATATTCAGTGTATTAAGTTACTGAAACACAATATTATTTACTCATACTATGAATAGTGTCCAGTAAAAATATAATATACTGACGGACTTGAGTTAATTAGTCAGAATTCAGATAACGCTTTATGCATCTTGCTCAAACTTTATAGTGCAATGACAGATAACGTGTATGTTCATCTTAACCAAATGAAAATGTGCAATATTTGTTTCCTAAAATGTTTGTAATCGATAAAAAGATATTTACTATGCTACCAAAAAGTGAAGTTTAGATGGTTCATGAACTGAATTACATAACGTACCTGATCCTAAAGCAGACTGTATGTTAAAGTATCTGATGTTATTCATTATGTAATCAAGACTGTTTGATGAAGCTAGATAATATTCTTCCTTTCTTAGTTTTACTCTAAATCTCAACGCTAAGTTTCTCAAATTTGTAAATGGGAAAATGACAGGGCATTGGATTATAGCTGACATCAGTTCGTATTAAAAACCGTGACCCTAATTTGTAAGCCTAACTCAAAACTTCAGCTGATCTCTTAATACATAGCCCTAACTTATTTGCATTATAACTGATGTCATTTGGAAAGAAAACTCCACAAGGCTAGAAACCTAACTTACAACATTAACCCAACTCCTAATATGTACGTACGTGCGTACGTACGTAGGTATGTATGTATGTTTGTATGTAAATTTGACCTGTTTTCTTTTGCTATAACGGGTGATTTAACATGAAAGGATTTATTATTCAAAGCAAAGCTGTTGTTTTACTGTTATTTCATTACTTTGTACTGTTAATTATATTACAACTAGCTAGCATCGTTCAAGGTCATCAGTGAATAATATAGATTTTATAAAATAATAATATATTTTAACAAATTTTAGTTTAATGAATATCAGAAAGGAAAAAAGTATCACATTTGAAAAAAATAAAAATAAAACTTATTGCTTATTTATTGTGTTGAAATAAAAACTTTTACAAGGTGTTTATGGAGAGTTGAAGCTATAATTAGTAATTAGAATTTTCTGAAATAATTATTGAGACATATATATATATATATCATATACATACATATGATATAAGGAGAGGAAATTAGGTCATTGAGCTAAATTTTAATGGATCTGTTCATGGAACTGAAGTGTAATAATCAGTATTTGAACACATAAATATTGGTACAAAGGGGAAACGAATATATATGCGTCAAACAAGTCACTTGATTTGTGTGTGGGCTGTGATATTGACCGGGTGCCCAGACCGAAGCTGTTGGTTTTCTTAGGAGGCCACACTCGGAGCCTTCGGCCTAAAGGTCTGATTCACAAGGCAGTAGAGTAACGTAAGGAGATGCAGTCCCATGGTAGCCGATGACCACTAATTGGTTCATACGCCATTTTTTTCTCTCAGGATACTGGAGCTCGTGTGCACAATTTGTTTGAAATTAGGGTTTTCCAACTCCCCTAGGTGGGTCCTTCATATCCAAAAACCCGGTTAAAGAGCCGGACATTCGCTTTCCGTCCTCTCATTTTTGTAAACAACATCCCGCCACGAGAAGGCAGTGGCTGTATACGCGTGGCCATTTGAGAACATTTCGAGAGGGAAAGTTGACTCTCTCCACCCTCATCCATACCAATGCATTTGGGGACTAGTAATTTACCGTTATTATTATTATTGTTAAAACTCGCAGACATTACGTGCTAATAAATTAACCATCGCCAGCTGATTTGTTTAAGAATAAGATCATCCAATAATGGTCATTCGCTTGTGTCTACCACATCAACTCGAATTATGTGTTTTCACCTTTGTGCCTAACATAAATTCAGATCTGCTTACTCAGATTATCCATTACAAAAGCCGTAAGCAGATGGGTGAGTGAAAAAGAGGGCACAGTTATAAAGAAGACACATTATTTAGGGTGATCATCAAAAAGGTCCACATTAATAAAGGTGAACATCAAAAGAGAGAATATTATTTTTAATGGTTTGAAATCTGTTTAATTTACTCTCTTTTCTTATATCTGTGAGATAGTTTAAAGAACGTGATTTTTTAGTGAAGAGTTTACTTTAGACAAATATTGTAAATTTTTCGGAATTCGTGACAATTTGTTATTTACTAATACAAAGTTTGTGTCCCAAATTAAACTTCATGAATTCCAACTCCATACCAATGAAGTGTAAGAAATATAACTAGGTATATAATACGTCGACTTTGTTAACATCTGTTTCCTTTTTGACCCTAATCAAATATTTTATTTGAAAACATATATATATATCATCACATTTTCACTACAAATACTTAAACGTAATTAATTCTATTGCACTTACATTTTTGTTTGCCTGAAATTATCTAAAAAATCTCTTATCCTCTTGAATATCTAACACATACAGACATGCCTTTAAATATATTATCCTCTAGCTATTCGATAGAGATATACAAGAAAACATGAATGAGGTAATAAAGAATAACAAACTGTCACCAAATCCGAAAAATTACAATATTTGTTGACAGTAGACTCTTCATTAGACATTTAAAAATTCACGTTGATTTTTTAATTATCGCAAAGATAAAGAGACAGAGGATAAATCAAACAGAATCCATTCCATTAAAAACAATATTCTCCCTTTTGATGTTCCCGTTTATTAAATACAGTTTTTTGATAGTGATCCCTATAAATGTGTGCCTTTATTTAACAGTGCTCTTTTTACATTTGGCTCTTTCATAGTCGTACTTTTACTCGTTTCGTTATTAGTGTGAACCCAAACTCAAATATGTTTTATTTTCTAATAGCAATTACTATATTTTATAATTTAATGTGGTGTATTACTAGTCTACATTATGAATAATACGGTTATTTAATGATGAAGGAAGAAAAAAAACATATGAAGATGAAAAGAAAATCATGTATACTGACCAATTTGTATTCTTGCTAAAGTAAATTTTGTGCGATCCATTGTTGGTATAGGCTGTAATGACCATTGAAAACGTTCTCTATCACCTTGACAAAATAATTCACAACAAACACGTATTGCCCATTCTTTACATATTGGCCAAACTCGACAGGGATTACTTATATCTGAACATTTTAAGGCCATCTATAAAATGCATACAAGAAGGCATAAAGATGATTTATATATATACACATATGATTGTTACTTAATCAATAATTAACTATATTCAATGTTTCTGTATCTTTATTCATCAGTTATTGTTATTCTTGTTTTTTTAATGAACAATGTTTACATTGTTTGTTTACTGAGATATTTATTTTTTTTTTCTTGAAATCTCATTCTATGACAGAGAAGATAACAATTTTTTTCTGATAATTCGTTTAATAATAATATTAATAAGATTTTTTATGATATATATATATATATATATATATATATATATATAGCTTAAAATAACTCCGCCTGGAGCCCCTCTGAGTCTACTGAGTGTCCCAAGCCCGGATAAAGGAGGAGGATTGGGCATGGGATGAGCGACCCCATCTCGTAGAAAAACTAACTCGCTAAAAAAACGCCAACCAGAAAAAAATTAGTAAAACCATTTAAACTATGTCCTGGGAGTCAGAAGATCTTCATTTAGAAGAGTTATGACGCCTCGTGGTGAAAGCCTAGTTCTTTTAGAAGTCATGAGGCTGATGCCCCTTCTGATAACCAGAACAACCACTTATTTAGGTACATAGGATGCTGGTACAATGTGGGAGACCGGGAAAGTCTTCCAAATTGCTTCAGATATAGCTTAAAATAAATGACAAAATAAGCAATCGAACATTGACAGTATACGCATATATAAATTAACTTTTGAAATTGTTCCAATTTACATATATATTAAACAAAAATTAAAAGTTATTCAAGGTGAGACTATAATTTATGGACGACCCTTTCAGCGACACCAAAATGACCTTGAGAATGTTCATCCAATAACTAGGATCAAATGTGGGTTATAAATTAGTGTTAGGAATTAGAATTATGATTTACAGTTGATGGTTAAGATTAGGAATTAGATTTCGGGTTTTCATCACGAATTGACATCAGCTATAATACCAAAATTCTATTTAACCAAATGAATAAGTGAATTTTGCGCCAAGATCCGAGACCTGTTATCTTATATTTCATTGGTTTGTCCATAAATTATAGTCTCGCCGTTTAGTAAATAAATTAAATTATTAGAACATTCGTGCATTCAATTATAATTTCAATTATACTGGGCTACAAATCTTATTTATTATATCAAAATCTTGATTAAGAAATATTAAATAATTGTCAGTGAGTGAGTACAACGTACAACCAGGACCAGGCATATATATATATATATATATATATATATATATATATATATATATATATATATACATCGGTCCAATTTGCCATCCTCATTAGCACAGTAAAATGAACATCACATACATAAAAGTAGTCTTTTCAATGGTAATAATAATTATAAGGAATATTTACATGTTAGATAAACTTTTATTAAGAATAGAGAAGTTTATCTTATAAACATTGTACACTGATTACTATGCAATATTATAAAGATATTAATTATATTAGAATGAAAGAAAATCCAGTAAAGGAAATTTTCTTTACTTCTTTATCACTAAATTATCTTTCATTTCTATTCAATAACACAATTGGTTTCTTTTAGCATATAAATTTTATTTATAAAATTCATTGAGATTAAAATTAACTAGTTTAAACATTTCATATATTGGCCAACGCTAAACTTTTAAACTGGGATTTTTACAAATATGATTTATATCAAGTCTTCAAATTATTTTTGGAGGATTTTGAATCCAATGAATCATAGCTACTTAGTGTCTATAGTGAGTATGCAAATTAAAGTGAATTTATACTTTAGATTCTGATAGATTACGAAACAATAATTATTTTGTAATCAACATTGAGGTATATACATGATTATAGACAATTATTAATTCAACTATTGCATAATCACAATTTTCGCCACTTAGTAATGTATTATAAAGTTGTGCATTGAACTATGGATTATAGTGACTGAGTGTAGTATATGGACTAAAAATAAGACTTAGGTTCGTATTCATCAGCAAAATTAATGCTTCATCTTAAAGAAATTGATGTTTCTCGTAAAATTCCAATTCATATTATCGATTGTTACACTACGAGACACGACCATTGAGTTAGTCTTCCCAAACACCAATCATAACAACATTGAGCACATGATTTCGAGTTATTTAGCTTAGTGGGTAGAATGCTGCTTGATCGGCTCCGAGGATATTAATTACTACGAAGTGAACAACCTCATACAGTTAGTTCCTTCAATAAACTTTTGCAATCAGTTGATTTCTCACCAAACTCAGTTTATTTGTAATGGGATGACTTAACCACACTATATTTATGAAAAATATTAGGAATCATAACCTTGAAACTTCTATTCTACTTATCACTTAATTAGCACTTGTAGGAAAAATCTGATAAAACTCAACAGAGTACATAGCTAGATGGATATGATCAATTCCGATCGATTCCTAAATCGCCTTATTATATGCATATATAGCATATTCGATAGAACTTGTCTACTTAGGTCTAGATTCTTTTGTTTTTCATTCTTCTATGTGATCAAAATTAGTTATTTGATCAAAATAGATCTGCAAAAATCAGTTGATGCATACCATTAAAACCGTTAAAGTAAGAATTGAATATTGTTCATTCACTGCTTACCGACAGAGTGCTTTAATCAAAAAAATTCTGTTGCTCTTTTTGTTCTAACCTGTGTCAATTTTAAAAAATGGATTTTTGCTCTCTAATGAAGTAAACTACACTAAGTTTTAAATTTTCTGTTTATTGAGGTGTAACAATCATATTTTTAAAAATTCTGTTACATAAATTGAAAACCTGGTATATTAATTATATGCATACACCTATCACCAAAACCTAAAAGATTTCATATTTTATTATATTTCTGTGTTGTTATATTCATATGGCCCTTTGGTTGCACAAAAATTTCTTTTGCGGAAACCTCACACATTTTAAATACCTCTTAATGTTATTCTAATAAAAATTCCTCAATAAATCAAGACTGAATTTGAATTCACTGTCAAAACGTGAGTATTAATATCATGAAATGAGTTTTTTTCAAATTAATATAATCTAATTAATGAGTTTATAACCTTACGTTTCTATTATTTAATCCAATGTACTCTTACATTAAAAACTTGATAAAAAGAACCCACTACATTGGATATAAGTCTTATAGAGCTAAATGAAATACGCGGAAATAAAACGATGCACTACTACTACTACAGAGAATATACTCCTCATTAGATAAATTGGTCGGCACATAAATACCATGGTAATATATTGACCGTTTAGTCAGTGTATCGTTTGATTGATAATAGTTAGAATCTGATTAAGAGTATGAACATATTGTTGTTGTTTTTTAGGCTAAAACATTCTAAAATGTCATATACATTTTGGAAATAATAAAATTTTAGCAAATTAACTACTAACAATAAATAGAATAAATTAAACGATTAATTATTATGTTTTTTACATACTTGCATGATTAACAGGCGATCAGATATTGTATATGATAAAGATGGATTAGCCATATGATAGTTTGTTAAATCCTGTGAAAATAAGTTAAACAAATTCGTATTTATGTATAAATTGAAATATTCATAAATATTGAGAATAGGATCATTCTGAAGGGATAAGGTTTATAGTATTAAGCTATTTTAAAAAAACTGTTTCTTCACACTAACAGATAAATAGAGTATAGGGAATAAGGAGTATTATCTAACTACATTACTTACAAGCAGCAGTTGTTTTATTGAAGATTTAATTAGAAATTACTTGTTCTTTGATTATTTAATTCAATTATGACTAGTTAGACAGTATTAGACTAACAATATTCTCTATTGTCTAGATTTGTTAAACTAAGGTATGCTTTTCTGATTTAACTATCTCTAATGTAAGCTTCTTGCATAAACAAACTTTGCTTAAATATGGAACTAGATACACAATTATGTACATGTATCTTTTTCTCCAGTTTATTCGATCTTCAGTGTGTGTATTCTGATGAAGACGATACTATATGTACACCAAAATAGAACACGAACTTTATAATATTTATAATAATTGAAAAGATAGTTAATTTCTTTAGTTATGTTAAAGTTTCATTAATTGTCAAGTGATTTTCATCCCGAAGTGATATTAAAAACAGGTGACATTTGTTTTAGCTTAATTTACTATTTCATAGAATTGTATAGCTGTTACATTCATCGAATCGAAATCAGAGTTCAAGTCTCAACACCTCATTGATACAATGATCTTCACGGATAAATTGTCTAATCATTATTGATCACTGACTAATTCTCGTTTATAAGTTATTTTCTAATCTAAGAGGGGAAATATACTGAGCATTATTTATCTTATTATGTGTTGTATACGTTTCCAGAAATTCATATATATATATATATATATATATATATATATATATATATATATATATATATATATATATACGCTTTACAATTCTTAAAACAGTTAAGGGTTTAGAATTCAGCAAACACGTTAACATCTAAATAATTTGTTATTGAAGCCTAAAATAAAATGTGAAACCCTAACGTAGATATGCATGTACAATTAACTATTATATGACATATTATCAATTAATAGTCATTGATATTATCATTATACATAATACGAAAGATAATCTTTAATGAGGTTCATAGATTTATACTACTAAACAGTCTCATACTAGTACGAAACAGACCTTCAGTGTATCCTACTTCTTAGTAATTGGTCAAATGAAGTTAATACATAATGTTGATTACTTTTAAAATGGTATTGAATAATCACTTAGAAACAAATGTAAACTATAGTGAACCAATTTTTGACAAAAAGTATATATAACAAAATAAGTACAATCAGAATAAATGAAAACAACAACTTCAATTTCTTGTTTCGTTTTCATACACTTCATCGTCCTAATTTATCTCTAGTTCCTTTTCTCCAATGAATTAGATCAGATCAATTTTATCGATATGAAGACTATTTAATATTTTCACTATCTTATCATTAACTTAGATTTTATAATTTAATATTGTTTTATAGTAAGTTATCTATCATTTTAAATGGTTCATTCTCTGTTCATTTACTTATACACAAATGTACTAAATTTTTCACGATCATGGTAGTAAATGATATCGATCAAGAGAAGGATAATAATAAGTGATAAACAGAAATTATTATGGTATGGTAATAAGATAGATATCAAATTTTAAATAGAATTGAGAATTAAAACAAAAGTAAACTATGTAACATATATTAAAGAAAAATAGAAATAATGTCAAATTGTCTTACAAAATTCTTAAAAACTCTAGATATTACATAATTATTACTGATTATGTAAAACCAATAAACTCCATCTTGAGTTTTCTAATCACTAAAAAGAAAACAGATCAATATTCTTGTTTATTTTGATAGTAATAGTAGTAGTAGTTTACTTCATTTAAACTCAACAAAAGTGAGTAACAATTAAACAAAAAAATACGATTTTATTAACTTCTTAGGATACACAATATATGTTACTGTATCATTTCAATTATCATGATTGATAATGGTCAATATATCCGATTATCAACATTAAAGGTATTTAACAAGTTAGGATATTGAATGAATTCAATGATACATATTCACATTTTTAAGGTTTAACTAGTTTCAAATAAAAATGATATTGGTATAAACAATTAAATTATAATTAAATGATGAAAGTATTTTACATACAGGTAAATTATGAAAAGAAACAACAACGACAACAAGAGAGTGAGAGGTTCAGTAAGGAAAAACAAAACAAGCTATCATTTTGACTTAATAAAAAATGAATAAATCATTTTTCTCTCCGTCTTCCACCTCGACGCCCTCCCTCTTATTACTTACACAACAAAAATTACGATGAAATTGACTTCAACAAGAATGTAATCTATTTAAGTGATATTACTAAAATTTTGAATAATCAAATTATATACATGTAAGAATTGTCAAACTAATTACTATCCAAAAATGAATTAATAATAATCTAATAATTATTCTAATAAATATTATATTACTTTTTAAATAAAAATATTTTGACAAGTGACCCGATTGTTTGAAATCTATTTATTCATGTAAATAAATCAATTTTTATTTATTTACGATCAACTTCAGTTTTGTTTATATAAGACTAACTGTTTGAAATTGATAATGAAAGAATAAATATTTTTTAAAAAATGAAATTCTTTTAATAAATATCATAATGATACAGTTTGATTGGATGCTATTAAACTAATTTAAGAATTAATTCATGAATGAATGAACAAGAGATTTTATTCTTCTTTTCTTTTTTAAAAAATAAGATCTAATTCAAAAATGAGTGATCATATCAGTTTTACTGAAAATATTAAAAAAAAAATAACTGGAATATTCAGCTGATCAACAATTTATAGACTTTTAGTTGGTATGTAATTAACTACTTGAATTATATCATTATATATACATGTGAGGATGAAAGATAAGGGTTAATCTGTAAGTAGAAAAAGTTTAAAATGTTGTTGTACACAATGACTATCATATTCCAATGCTGAGTTCCACATAACTTAATACCGATCTCGGTTCTCACATTTTACAATAATATAGCAAGAGAGTAAGTTAACCAAATAAGAAACATACAAGGAAGATGTACGTGCTAGACGTTTATCAGGCTAACCATTTGAGGGGTATAACAAACAAACAAGTAGGATATTTAGTATTAGTACATTAATCAGTCACTAAGTAGTGACTAATACCACAATGTTCACTTATTAGTACTAAACAAACTGTAAAGATTAAGCTAAATTATGACGGCTAGTTTGACCAACTCAATGTTGTAATGGAGATTTTTAATGGTAAACGGCAAAAGCCAGTAAACAAAATACAATGAGTCCAAGTTCTAAACTGTTTTTTCATTTGTCACTGAGTCATATCTACAATCTTCATGAAACTGGTTCTCTAAAAAAAGTTACGAAACTTAAATTTTCGGACTGCAATTGAATACCTGTATGAGTAACATATTTAATCTAATAAGTCGTAGTGAAAACACCTCTGTGTTTGAATTTTTGAGATGGTTTCAGATCCTTGAAGAATATAAGTGCATAGGCAGTGTCCAATAGAGGAAACATTTAGCAAATGAGAAAAAGTAATCACAAGTACTATCTAATTTTCGCTCTGACTTTTGGTAGTTCAAGTTAGATTATTTGATTTATAGAAATTCAATAAAATTATCTAAACCAACATCAAACTATTGACTTTTAGTGTTAGTTAAATAGGCTAGGAAAAGTTGGAAAAAAGACGATACACTCCAACTTACTTTGAATTGTTTTTGATATACTCCTTGATATGTAATATCAGTAGCTGGAATTAATTTTAAAAAACAGTCACGCACGAATTCCCTATGAATAAGAAAAACAAACAAAGAAGAATTGAAAATATAACATTCACATTTCATAGTGTTAATTCAAAGTTTTGTATTAAAACAATTTATGGGTTCTTTTTTTGAAAAAAAAACGAATTTCCTATTCAGGAATAGTCTGTCAAGAAAAAGAACCACCAAACATTTCAAGAAAAACCAAATCATAGGTATGTCGACTAAAATAAATCCAAGAATACAATAAAATGAATAAGTAGTCTTTCTGATAGTTTCGAACTAAATTACATCCTTACATTTTCCCACAAAAAAATACTTTCTTGATTTACAAATGACATATTTTAAGTGTTAACATAGTTCCAAATGGCAATTGATGTTTTTCCATGGAATAATACCATTTGCTTATTCCATAAATTTGAATTTTTTTATCCGTGTCAGGTAAAGATGGGTATCTACGTCGTTACAGTGGAAGATGGTCGCGCAATTTCGTAGATTGGTTGGGGTTAGACATTAATACTATTGAGTGCCAAATCAGTGGTCCAGTAGGTTAAGTGTTCGCAGGCGAGACTGGAGGCCCTGGGTTCGACTCCCACGAGCAGGAACGTGGATGCGCACTACTGAGGAGTCCCTTAATAGGACGAAACGGCCGTCCAGTACTTCCAAGCTTTAAATGGTAGTTTAACATTAATCGGTTCATGATCTAAAACTAAAAAATATTTTTTGTGACTATTCTAATCGACTGATACAGTTCTTGAAATTATTTAGTTACTTAAATTTCCTCGCATAATTTCGTAATTTATTTAAACACATAAATAGTGGTACAAGGAGGTACTAGATATATATGCGCCACACAAAGCATTCGATTTATGTGAGGGCTAGGATGCTGCTTGGATGTCTAAACCAAAGCAGAAATTTCAAAATTATCAGATTTCAAATAACAGAATGAATGACCATCTAACTGAATCATTTTATCATTATTATTATTATTACTATAAAACAATGAAGGTCCTCAACTTTAAACAAAATATTTCACCAAATAGTTATAACTTGTCTGATAATAAATAACTGAACTAAAATGAATTTCATAAAATGTAATGATTTTTTTCAGTACTGACTGTCATATCTAATATTTTTCCCATGTTTATTGCATTATTGCAGTATTTAACATGAATCAATAATTCTGACATAAAAACATATGTAAATGTATATCACTCATGCTAATCAGTAGTATACTCATTTAACCAGAATACAGTGTTCTTTTTTTACAATTAAACTGATTAGCAGTATGAGAGGAAATATTTAGGTTAAAATTCTTTAATTACTTTTACTGAAGTGTACCGGGAATGTACCAGGATCAATTCAATAAAGGATTAGGTATAAGAAATTATAACAAAACTAGCAATTAAAAACTAATATCATGAACTCATTTATTAAATATGACTAAAAACGGATTAACAATATAAATTATTATTAATATTATTATTAGAGTTTAAATATGAACACAATTAATTCACACAAAAAAATAACTAACCAATCTTTTAATTCTAATGCATTAGATAATCCATTTTCTTGAAGAATGCATAAACCAAATTTTGCATGATGTTTTTCCAATACAGAAACCGACTAAATGTTCAAATAATAATAATAAAAACGATAAACATATACAGAAGATATTCTTTTAAAAAACACACACACACATGTACACGAAAATACAATACTACTGTTATTAATAATAATAGTGGGATATTATTTGATCGAAAGAAAAAGAGGGAGAAAGAAATTTAATGAAATAAATCAATGAAACAGATGAGTTACATACTTAACATTATTACTTAATATCTTGAGATATTTTGGCGAGACTCTAATTTATGGATGAGCCAATCAGAAACGTTTTAGAGATTGCAAGGTTACGGCGCCAACTTCAGTGCTTAATGCTAACATACGATTGGTTTACAGGCAATTTTGTACAAAACATGATAATTGAGTGGCTATAACAAATAAAACGGCGAGACTATAATTTGCGGACGAATCAATCAGGAATAAGATAACAGATCTCGGACTTTAACGCGAAAGCATTTCATTCATTTGGCTAAATAAATTTCCGGCATTATAGCTGATGTCAGTTCGTGATGAAAACACCATATATAATTCCTAATTATGACAAATTATGACAATTATCGCGAACTGTATAATAAAAGTACAAGTAACACTGGCTGCAGCCAGGTACTACAATATATACGGATGTTTTGAGAGCGTACAGACTCCTACATAGGCTTGGTTATGCGCATCGTGAAGTTATCCACAAGTAGCATTTTGTGCACTCAACAACCGGAGTGCACATAAACAATATTGAAGCTATGTGGTCGAGGCTGAAAGAGTTTTTGAGACCTTATCATGGCTCCGGAGGCCGACTATTCTGTAGCCGTATGGATGATTTCCTCTACGATTTTAGAACCTCTGAACCCCTTTCTAACCTTGACAGGTTTTTGAACCAAGTATAAGAAGTGTATCTACTTTATGTTCTTGGTTTTGTATAACATCTTTATACTCTTTACTGGCTGTTTGCTGATTGGCTCATATTTCTCAAGGTCGCTTGAGATTCGTCCAAATGTCGTCCATAAATTAAAGTCTCGCCGATGTTTTTTCTTTGTATGAAAAGACAATAATCGACCGGAAATTCGGTTACTTCATAACACATATGTAAACATTTCTCATACTCAACATAATATACACAAATAAATGTAATGATATTTGTTATAGAATCAACTTAACTAAAAATAATATGACATTGATATGTTCAAACCTACAAATGATTTTGATGATACTAAGAATAATCTGTTTGAATTTATCGGTACTATTTAAACTTTTGTTCTTTTATTTTGATTGGTTACTTACTGATTCTGAAGAAGTGATTCACATTAAGTTACGAAACATCAGAATTACAATTTTGTACACGATAAAATATCACGAAAAATATAATTCATATGAACAAAAATTAGTTATGTTACATTCATGATGGTGGTTATTTTGTCAATTTCATGAGTTATAAAATAAATAAGTGATTTTTAAGTATGAATTCCGAATGTGATTTTTGTTTCTTTGATTAACAGTGAATATCAAATTGAAATAAGACTAACAACCTTGAATATTTAATATAATTTTTAGATCTGGTTAATTCGTGGGTAGTATTCACCATGGATTGAGTTGATTTAGAGTTCTATCGAAAATCAGGGAACACTGAACAATTGTTTACCCTTAGTATGGTCACCGTTTTTTGTGATATCATTTGAAAGCACTATTGAAGAGTTTCTTACTGGGGAGAAACAGACTCGAGGCCCTCTAGTTTCATTGATACTCGAGGTAAAATCAGTCCGTTATGAATACTGCCTGAAAATCATTAAGATTACTGATATACAAAAAACGCAGTTGTTGGTTCAATGTCCATTTCAGTCTAGTTACTGGTTGTTGAACAATAAATTTATGAAACAAAGGTTTTATGAATTACTACGCTAGTCCATTATCACTAGATAAATAAACGATGTTCAGCCACGATCCTTTTTAGGATTAAAACTTAAAACTCTTAGATCTCGTGTGGTAAGCAAAATGTCATTTAGTTAATAAGCCGAAATTAGGTAGTTATTATTCTTTTAATTTTAGTCAATTTGTAATCCAGTGTGATCCTTAACTCTATTTTGTAAGCTTCCGACAACGTAGTTTTCGATTTGACTGGTTTGATCTCAAAGTTCTACAGAAACGTTTATGGATTATTCTTATATACATAAGTATCCTTTCCAACTACAGCTCAGTCAATCCAAAACACTTCAAACAATCGTTGAGTAGTTCACACAAATTATTGCTCGTCGAAAAGTAAGATATCGGAAAAGAAAAAACCCAGCAACATAGATGAAATATGCACATATTTGGATATTTATATATGTACAGATATGGATATGCATACAGTATTCACTGAAAAATGTACTTGATAATCTGATCTATAATATAACATTGAAACTAATCCTTATTCAAATCACATATATTTTAAAGGTAGATTGCGTTTACAAGGCTAAAAATACAGAAGATTAATTAATATCAGACAAGTGTTTGATACTGAAATCTTTATGGAACTCTAGTTCATTAAACTGACTGATCCCTGAGTGGTAACTAATTCCACGCCTGTCTGGGCCTTTGTATTGATCAAATTTTCTTAATAGAATTGCAACGCGGTTACCAGTCTATGAAACTTGGCATTGTGTGTACTATGGGTACGATGAATTCCGATTTCACGGAACGCATATATCTCCTTAAGACCACAGTTATGGCTTATCAATGATTCCCAAATCGCATGTAACTTAAGACCATAAATTTCGACTAACAACAAAATCCAAACATCTTACATTAAAACTCGAGATAATATTAATGAATGATGCATGCCACACTCTAATCAGGCAAAAAATTTCATATATCGAATCTAAAATCTTATTCGGTAATTTTGATGTTTCTAATATATTTAAGTATTTAAAAAATGATAAACAATCCATAGGAAATAATCTTTATTTAGTAATACAAGTGATGAATAAATTTTTGTGCATTAACAGATCTATTTAAATTTTCTATTGTGTTCCGATTTTTTCGTTCCCTGACCAATCAATATGGGTTTCTTAACGAAAATAAAGAACATCTAAGTATAAGATAATGATTAATTTGTAGCGTACAAAAATGGTCAGTATTCAGAGTTTGATAATTTGTGAAAAAAAACATTTAAAGAGAGAAGGATGGTTAGCGGGGATAAATAATTGATTCTAATTTACATTCTGTTATAGGTATATACAAATATATATATTTCTGACGTTTTGTGACTTAATGTAGGCTACTTTTACAGAGTAAATAAATAACAAAAATAAATTAACATAAGTTCTTTGTACTCTTTAAAGTAGTGGTAATTTAATTCGGTTATTTATTTATTCTGAAGAAGTGGCTTACATGAAGACACGAAACGTCAGAAATACAATATTTCTACTCATTGGGATATAACAAAAAACATAGTTACTATTAACTTTCTACTCAATCCTCCATTTATTTGAAACTATCATGTCCAACCTTGACACTGATAACTATAAACTATAAAAATATCATGATACAACAAAATATTAATTTCGTAAATTACAAAACACCATAACTACTCCATTTGTATTCATTGATTGAATAAACAAAAAATTGATTATCTTAAACTCAATGATTTTAAGAGTCTAAGTGTATGTAATTCATTTTTGTATGCTGTTGCATACACACAATAATTTTTTTATTTTGAAGATAGCGTACTGCACGGAGGACATCACCCCAATCACACTTGATGGAGAAGCTCTGGAAAGGGTGGAAAGTTTCACGTATTCTGGTAGCATCATCGATGTACAGGGAGGATCCGATGCAGAAGAAAAGGCAAGGTTTGGTAAAGCAAGGGCCGCATTCCTACAGTTGAAGAACATATGGAACTCAAAACAACTGTCAACGAATATCAAAGTCAGAAACTTCAATACGAACGTCAAGACAGTTCTAATTTACGGAGCTGAAACTTCGAGAACTACCACAACCATCATCAAACATGTACAAGAATTTATAAACAGTTGTCTACACACGATACTTAATGTCCGTTGATCGGATACTATCATCAACAGCCTACTATGGAAGAAAACCAACCAGCTTCCATCTGAAGAGGAAATTAGGAAAAGATATTGGAAGTGGACAAGATATGCATTATGGAAATCACTAGACTATATCACAAGGCAAATGCTAACTTGGAATCCTGAAGGGAAACGGAAAAGAGGAAGACAGAAGAACACATTGCGTCGGGAATTGAAAGCAAACGTGAAAGAGGATGAACAGAAACTGGAAAGAACTGGAGAGAATTACCCAGAACACAGTTGAATGGAGAATGCTGATGGGTGGTCTATGTTCTTTCGAAAAGGGTAATAGGCGTAAGTAAGTATAAACAAGTAGTACAGTAAGAGGAAGAAAATTCAACTCAAAACGTAACATAATATTAAAAAGAGTAGAATACAAAACACAATTTTATTGAAACCAAACATTAATTAAAAACAATCAACATTTCATCCATGGTCGGAACTGCATATTTTTAAACATCTAAGTTAGACAAATATTTCTTGAACTAAAGTCATCATTAAAAAATGTCTGGTCTAGGCACACCAATCTAAATCATATCATCATCATCATCATCATAATCAACATCATCAAAAACAAGAAGAAAAAAATCATATGACAAAAAGTAGTATAAATCAAAAATATTTCATACAAACTGATTGAAACTGAACATATGTTTTTTGTTACTGTCCGGAAATATTTATATATTCTAAGTTAACTATGTTATGAATGAAATTGAGAAATGGTAACGTGCTTACATCAAAATATTATTGAATTATTATTCTCCTTTCTCTTAATATTATCAAAATACTTTTGAATTCAACAAAACATTTGTCAAATTTACATAAATTACAAATTTCACATGATGATGATGTGGTGATAGCGGTGGTTGTGAATAAATGGGTTAATTATCACTAGTCATTAACTATATATCGTTTACAAGAAACTAACTGGTTCATCTAGGATATGACGTTTGATTTCGATAAATATGAATTCATAATAAAATAGTTCTTTTAAAAAATAATAATAAATAGTCACATTTACTGACTTATCTCATACAACCAATATACATTTGTAATATCACAAAGGAAGAAGTTAAAAACAACTAAATTGGATAACATTTTTTTGTTTTTTGTTTAATATATTTATGTATACGTCTAGGTCTGAAATAAGTTAGTGGGTGGTTGAATGTTGTCTAGTAAGCAACAAACTATATTTTTATGTATAATTGAATGAAAACATTTTATTAACAACTTCCTGGTATGATGATTACAAATTTTTTGTAAAACACCTTAGAAGGATTTCAAGACTTTATTTATATTAGCATTGTATCATATTCAGCCATCATGAATAGTTGTAGAATTCCATATCTTCTCAACTTCATTACATTGAAGCCATATCACAATTCGATAACTCTTTAGTTTGATGCATCTTTACATCATGCTTTGACTCATCTACCTTACTCAGTACGCATTAAACAAAATAATTAAGGACTGGTCGCTATAAGCTTTAGTTTAAGAGTGTTAGAATAAAAAATGGTTAGCACACTACAATTTCCAGTTTAGAGTTAAGTTTTAGGAATATTAATTTTTATTTATTGATGATTTTGTGAACTTAATTCATTACTTAAATAGTAGAATAACTTAATCGAACCTCAGTATTGTTTCAGCAGCTGTACATGTGAGGTGTAATGAATTAAAGTATTTCGACAAACATTTTTTGCAATAATTCACTACTGAGAGCAATAAAACGAAATATAAATGGAGAACAAGGTTCCATACTTGACTACATGGATTTTTGATATATATGTTTTCTTGGAGGCCTGCTTGAATATCTGGGCTACTTGTTCCTTCCACTTCAATATTCCAACAAGTTATCTGTTTTTGTTTTGACACATCATTATGTCTATTAATCGCAAAACCTATTCAGGCGCGTTTATGAAAAGTTTACGACCTTTCACTGTACAACTTACAAGGTAATACAATCAGAGACATTGTGATGGCCGAAAATATGCATTGAAAAGAATGAATGTTATTCAGATGTTCATCCCTTAACTACTAACATCTAACTGACGATCACTCAATATTTATCGTCAGGATCAATTCAGAAATAAGAAAAGGGGCTAGTTAAAATACTTTGTGCTGAGAATTCTATATTATACTAAAAATAGAATACTGAATAAAGCCATCAATGATTATATATATATATATATATATATATATATATATATATATTCGAATTATAAATGTTTCCATTCTATCACTGTTCAACGTTTCTTCACATCGAATCAATGTAAAAATTAATCAATAGACAGAGTGAGATAGAAAGAAACAGAGTGAGAAATAGAGATTGACAGAGAGGGAGGGAAAGGTAGAGAGCCAGAGAAAGAGGAACTAGGATGCAGAAAAAGTAGTTAACCAAAACTAGTTTAAAGAGACCCATTTGTTGAATAGAAAAAAGAATCGTGAGTACAAAGTGGGTTAGTTTCCATTTTTGGAAACAATCTACAGAAACAAGCAAGCAAACAAGTAAACAGCGATACAATGACGCACGTAGAAAGTATTTTTTTCTTTCCTTTTTTAAATAAAAAGAAGTTTGCCATAACAATAATTATTGTGAATAATGAACAAACAAATCAATAAGATATTAGTTTTACATGGTTCTTACTTGTTCACTTATTTAATTCAATTTCCCTTATTATATTTATTAAAGAGAGAGAGAAAGAATAAATGAAGCAGATAAGAAATCGATGTAACTATTGACAGGCGTTATCTATTCACAAATCAAAATTGTTAATCATTAAACAGTTATTACTATTATTTTTATTCCAACTATTACTGTGATATACACCGAAATCTTGCATATAGATAAGACTTATTCCAATTAAGTGAATCATTTTTTCCAATGAATATAATTACAAAGGAAACTGACAGGTAGAAAAACATAGAGTAATGTATTTGTGTGTCCTGAATTCTATATATATATATATATATATATATATATATATATATATATATGATTTGTTATTAGTTTTTTTCTCCTTTCTGTTTCTATAATCCTCCTGATTACAGTTCATCTCAGTTTCAACATTTTACAATATCGTGCTGACCCTTTACTTTCCAATTATAATTCCCCTCTCTATCTTCGTGATGAATATTCAAGACCTCGACAGTAAAATCGTTACTAGTTTTCCTGATAAGAAAATAACGTTTTAATACCCATGTTTATATCTGCCTCATTGTTATCATGTTTGATGGAATTTTATTATAACTAATGTTGTAATTCTTATCATCTTGAAAAATAAGTATGTATTTGCGATTGTACAGTTTTGAAAATGAATACTCAGAAAATAGAACTCTTCACTGAATCAGCCGTTCTTAGTTTACGTCTCAATAGGCATATTCCGTTTACTTAAAACACAAATTTTTATTTAGTTATCAATCAGTATGAGCATCTTTGTTTTACAAGGAGTTATTTGTAGCCCGCGTTGCTCAGTTATAACATATGTACTTCTGACATTTAGTAATATTGTATTCCATTCAAAGGGACGATTAATTTGTTTAATTTTGCACTTATTCTTGTTAATGAGTACTAATCAGTGTGGAACTTATATCATGAGCATACTAACAATTTTCTCCGGCAACATGTAAACATAAAAGGTTTATGAACTAATTACAACAAAGTATTTGATATCAGCTGATTTTGATTAGCATTTTCACTTATAATTACCTAACAGTGGTTTATTGAATGAAGCCTAGATTTTTTCTGTGTTACTCAACAAAAAATAAGTGACGTGTAATTTTATTTGTTCCACAGGAATTTTCAGTAAACAATATCTCTGTAAATCACGCATAAGTATATTAAGTCGGACAATCAGGACGTGTAGATTTTGTTTAATAATGCTCACTAACTCATATTAACCCATCATCTAACACGCCAAAAAAGTAGAAAACGGTTTGGAAAGAAAAAAGTAACGTTAGTCGCTAGTTAATAATTTTAAACGCTGTCTTTTTTGTTTTTTTTTTAAACAGCGCTGATAGCCTCCTGAATGGACAAATATACTCTTAATACTAGTTTAAAAATTTGAATTAAAAGGAAATTATCAGTATAGGGTTGTGAAGTTTGTTGAGTTTTAGTTGAGATCATGAACCGACCAATATTAGACCACCAATGAAAATCTGGAAGCAATGGATGACCATTTTGTCCTAGTATGGAGTTCAGCCGTGTCGGATATGAGGCAGTTACCCACAGAAGACAATCAAAGATGGTAGCACAATATCGTGGATTGTTTAAAGTTAAACATCAGCATCGTTAGATGCCGGGTCAGTAGTATAGAGGTTATGCACTCGCGTGCAAAACCGAAGGTTCTGGATTCAAGTCATGTGTGCGGGATCGTGGTCGCGCACATTTGAAGAGTCTCATGCTTGGAAGAAACGGTGATCTAACATTGACCGATTCATGATCTCAATTAAAAGTAATTTACTTTAATGTAAAGATATACATTTTTCCCGTGTTTATTTGGTGATTAACATTAACAAAACACTGTCAATCAAGTAATTAATTAAAAGTCGTTTATTGGTCAGATGACTAATGATAACATAGTTTTTATTTTTCTTAAAAAATAACATTTTTCTAAAAGACAAAATGATTTATCAAACAAAATTATTTATTTCCACTTACTTTATATAAATCAACCAAAAAATCACCTGTCTTCTCTAAATAGGATTGATTTACACCGGGATGATCAGCATCATGTAAAGCGGTTGCCAATAGACTAGCGAAAATTTCTGTCGGACTTAAAATGGTCAGAAGCTAAAGATATAAAAAGATTTGAAGAGAATATAGTTGTTTAATTTTTTATTCATTTTATCTTTTATAGGATGACGGCTTTATTAACATCAAAACGTGTTAAAAAGGTGTAATGTCAAATATAAATAGTGGTAAGTGAAATTTTGGTACAGAAGGTTTATGAAAATTGTTTAATTTATCATTTAAATCATAGAATGATTTTAGTTGATGAATTAGCAGAAAACAGACAGCATAAAACAGATATTATGTTCCATTATGAAATTTTTCAGCAATATCACCTACCACAGTGAAGTAATTAACTTTGACAGAAATTCGTTGAGATCTAGTGTGAAGCCGTGATTGCTGGAGTTCAGTCATATTAGATATAAGATTCAATGAATGACTGTCACAGAATATTACGAAATGAGGTTAGCAATGCGAACCAATCTATCCCGACTAAATGATTCTATAGATGATGAGCTCAGCATATTACATATTGATTCTAAGTCCGGTCTTCGATGAAGCAATGAGTGACCACTTTTCATAAGTCGCATTATAGAGAGACCGGTGTACAGTACTTCCTGAATTTCACTAGTTTTCTAGTTAAACTCACTTTGCAATGTAATCCTTTAAAAGTAACTATATGATTTAGAAATGTTTTTAAAAAAAAGGCAGCAAAATATCAAGTTTTTGCTAGCGAATTTATCTCGAACCAGCATAAGATAGGGAATCATTCAAAATGAACCCAAGAAACACTTGTTTCATAGCAGTTTGATGCTCTTCACTGCTCACGCACAATACCAAAATAGGATTGAACTTTGAAAGTGTGGTGAATACCATGAAGAATCCTTATATAATGTTACACTTATGTGTATTCCAGTCATGTTTATTCTTATAGATAATACTGAATTATCAGTAATAAACTATGGAGTACACTTATTCAATGCCTAATTTACTAGTAAAGCTCTACAATACATAGACGATTTAAGATTATTAAAACTTTCTGAAAAACCTAGTGCAAGATCTGTTGTTTGGTTAAATAAGTCTTCAAATCAGACTTGTGTATAAAGTATGTTTACATTTAGATAAGAGATGAAAATAGTTGAGATTAAAAAATAATATTTCCATTTGAGTGCATAAACTATGGTTTATTGATGATTAATTGTATACACATTTTTCTGGATGATTCCGTTGGTTTTAGAAACTCTGATAATTTTATATTTAAAGTGTAGGATTTACTTTGGATTACTATAGTAGTATAAACCATCAGTTATTCAAATAAAAAACGATTAGTATACAACAATTTATTGACAAACCTCTTACATGCACATTTAACTGGGATTATTATCTTATGTTCTCAAATACAAAATTACACATAGTGCATATACTTGTAAATTGTTTTTTTTAAAAACTGAATTTACTCAGTGATAAACAAATGTTATAAACAGTACGTGTTTGAAGGAAACCTAATACGTCTTGTCAACTTGTTTCAAAACAATTGTTAATCACTTAAAATAATATTATACAATTAAATAATGAATTATTTGACAATCATAGGTACATCTAGATGACAATTCCTAAATCGAACGAAACATATGTCCTGAATTTCACTACTAGCCACCATCTTTACTTATAATTGTTTGATAATTGTTTACTACTTAAAATGAATTATATCGTATTTTTAAATAAATTTTTATTTTCAGAAGAGGTTTTGTGGAGATTTTTAAAAATTTCAATAGTTCCCCACTAATGACTGACTTCAAGAGGCATTTCCTGGAGTTTCTAGTGGGAAGCCGTGACCGCTGGAGTTCAATCAGGTCTGTTGTGAGATATCAACTCACTGAAGACAATGGTGTACGGTGGCGCAATTTCGTGGATTGGTTGAAGTTAGACATTAACACCGTTGGATGCCAGCCGGCTAAGTGGTCTGATGGTTAGGCACTCGCGCGCGAGACTGGTAGGCCCTGAGTTCGAATCTCGCAGGGGGCGGGATCGTGGATGCGCACTATTGAGGAGTTCCATACTGGGACGGAACGGCCGTTCAGTGCTTCCAGGTTTCCCATGGTGGTCTAGCTTCAATTGACTCATGATTTCAACTATTGGAATTTTTATTTGTAATTGTATAAATAAATTTTAAGATTTATTAGATTGAGTTAATTAGTTACTGGCTTTGTGAAATCTTATTGTCGTTTAGAACGTTGCTAATGAAATAAAAGTTTTCTTCACCAGATAGTTACTATTACTTTTTCTATTAGTGATGCATTGGGTGTTTTTAAGTTACTTCAATGATCCATTATTTTAATATGTTATAATTTTCTAATTTAAGACTAATAATATTTAAAAAGTTTTTCAATAATTTATAGCCATATTTACTACATAATAAAAGTGAAAAAGAATGACTTTTGTATTGGTTTATAGCTGTGAAACATCTACTTTAAAAGTAGAAAACATGAGTAGGCTAAAAGTCTTTTATCATAAGTCTCTTTGAAGCATAGCTTGAGTTTTGTGGAACGATCGAGTGGGAGATGTTGGGGTTAAGCGTGAGGTACTAGGGAAAAGTGACAAATTAGTGAATGAACATAAAAATTCTCGCTGACTGAAATGTTTAGGATGAGTGTTAAGTTTGCCTACATATCTTGAGATGATATTTGCTGATGTAAGAGTGGGCTGGAGGAAAGCTAAAAGTGGCCGAATAAAAACAAAGCATTAGTTTATTAAGGCATCGACTGTCGGTCTGAATCGTTTTTGTGAATACAGAATATCTGGTCAAAGTCTGTCAGTTTATTGTAACCAGCGGTAGATGACTTCGAGTAACATGGCTTAGAATCGTTCACAGTAGTGCTGATACTTTCACTTTATTTATCTCTCGTTCTCGAACCCCAGTATTTCTTCACACACACCTTTCATTTCTGTTTTTTCGAACCATATTATCACTATAATTAGTATCATCTTATTTCTATTTCTCGCTATTATTCTTGATAACCCGAACTCATCATGCCTAATTAATATGGCAAATTATGTCAACGCACATCCGAATCAGCCTTGATGGTGGTATTAGTTAACCGACTGAAAATGTTCGCCACACCGGAGTAAACCTTATCTCAATCATTTTAACTACTTAGCTGAATTGTTACAGGATTTATGCTGCGTGATGATAGTCTTTATCACAGAAAGAAATCAGTTGAGGATTATGTAAAGCAAAATAATGTTGAAACGATGTCTTGTTTTAGTTTGACTTGACACACGAGAGCGAACTGATCATCATATTTGACAGTAAGATACTATTTAACGATTGAATCAATAATCTTTTCAGTTCACATCTTCCAATGTCAATACATTTAAGAAATAATATAGGTATTTCAAAAATCTCATCAGCATAACTGTTTTAAATTAGGAATTGATTTACTATACAATTTCAGAGTTTCCCAGAAAAACTTGAAGAATTTTACTTCTAAATCAATCATCAATAAGAACATGACTGTTAGTGACATTATTATTCATTCAAGTTTTAAATCACTGACTGATCTTAATAAAACATCCCTTAAAAACCAGGATACCCTGAACAGCTGTTTGCTTTTAGTTTCGGTCCCCCTAACAGTGTACATTCACGACCCAACTGAGGATTGAATCCGGAATCTTTAAACCTAGTGACGAGTACTTAACATTTGGATCTCTGAGTCGATATATAAGGGTTTACATCTCTAACTTGAGTTGATTTGTGATCATTATTTAATTAGACAGTTTATAAAATTTATTTTTTATTTTCACAGATTTTCAATTAGGAACTGATCTGAATTAGACCATAAGTGAGAACCCGTAAGAATCGTAGGGCTGTTTCCTTAGGTATTGACTCTCTCAATAGTAGACATCCTCTACACCAGCATCTGGAAGTCAAACCCAGAATCTTTGACCATCAAAGCTTGTTTACATACTATGGATGGTATACAGCTAATAATAATCCCATTTCATCAAGTGAATTTATGCTATAATGTCTAGTGTGTTATCTTTCTTCGTGTACAATTATAGTTAAGTCACAGAGCCTAAAAATCTCCAATTAATCACTGACATCAAACAGTGAAAATATCATAGCTAATAAATTTCGTATAAAATCTCTGTCCCATTTACTCATTTCTAATCACACTTTAGGTATAAGACTTGGAAAAAAAGAAGCAACTCAATCATATTTGATATACTGAAGACAATATAAATCTATATCTACAAATAGAGAAAACTAAAAGAAAGAAACTGGATTTTCATAAAGAAAAGTCATAATGAAATTTGCTAATATGATATTGGATAAATAAATGAATAAATGAATGGACAAATGGATAAATACATAAAGGTAAATTAATAGTTGGAAAAATTTTGCCTAAGGGTTAAATAATTCCATAAATTATAAAAGTTGAATTGGAAAATGAAACATTCTTTCATTTTGTTCAAGAAGAAGACCCATGAGAAATGATTAATATTGAGAACAGCATAAAGACAGAAATAATAAAGTTAATATAAATAATTGAAAAAAAATATCTTATTTAACAGGATTTATTTATTTCAGATTATATAATACTAGAATAAGAAAGATTAGATCAGCGAAGAGTTCTCTTTTCGACGGATTCATTTTCAAAGCTGTGCAATATCAAATATATATATATATATACTTATTTTTTCAGGATGATAATAATGCTGATAATAAACTTGTTATACATGGTGACAGCGAGGTTAAATAAACAAAGGTATTAAAGGTATTACTAGAATAGTTCACTGGCAAAATAGCTTGTTATAACATTGAAAAACATCCGTTTGAAACCTACATGATAATTGTTAGTTGCAACATAACTTATTAATAAATATCAACTTGTATAAAACTCAAGCACAATTAATTCTGCCTGATCGGTTATCATTATCTGTTTATGAAATATTTTTATATTTATAATTAAAAATATAAGAGAAATCTTCGATTTAATGCTTTTTAGAGAAATGTAGATGAGGGCGGCCTGCTTGAGCATCTGGGCTACCTGTTCCTG